CTAGAAAAAGTCCCCTTTTGCCAGCAAGCGGTTTTTAAAATTGCTGTCCTTGTTACTCAGAATGGGCATTTATTTTTTAGTATCTTGGTAACTGGACTTTCTGTGAGGTCTGGATTTAATTCCTTTTCTCTTAATGGAAACTGGAAGTCCCAGGTATTGTTTTTCCCAGGGGCACAAAGTATGTATGTATATATGTATGTATGTGTGTGTCTATGTGTATCTCTCTTTCATCTATTTCCCTCCAGTTCTCTCCCCCCACCATCTTTGATACCTGCCTTTTCATTTGTTATTTATTGTTAGAGAAATAAGGCATATGTTATGTCATCTGATCCTCATAAGAGTTTCTGAGGTAAAGTTATCTCCATTATCTCCATAAAGTATTATCTCCATTTTACAGATTCAAAAACCTGAGATTCTGAGACATGAAATTGACATGACTAATAGGAGGTAGAGCTGAGACTCAATCCCTGGTCTTTTTTATTCCAAGTTGAGTGCTCTCTTCATTCACTTGCTGCCCTGTGTAGAAAAGGAATTGAGGTGACTTCTGGGCAAGAAAAGGGGTCCATTAGTACATGTTATTGAGATAGTTATTTGTCTCCCTCTGTGAAATTATTTTCAGCAGCAAAAATCTGTTGAGCACTAAAACAGCTGGTCATGAAGATATGTTTTGAGGAATACTGAATCTGCCAAAGGGCATCAGAATCTGAGATTTTAACCCAAATCTAGGATTATGCACAAGACAGCCTTACAGGCCTTATTGTTTCTCACACTGGGGAAATGGTAAGAATTATGAGTATGGACTCCAATAGAATAGTTGGGACTTGAAGTGAACCATAAAGTATGGGTAGGATTAGAAATCTTTTGGTTCTCTGAGATCTTGTTTCTTATGCCTTTGTACTCATGCAGAGAAGTGGAGAAAAGGTAGAAGGGAAATTTATTGAAATCCTGGTGCTCTGCCATGAAGTGTAAAATCTCAGAGCTGGAAGGGTTTTCTGAGGTCATCTAACCTAATATGTACCTGAACAAGATACCCCTCTACAACATGACTGGCAATTAGTCATCTAACCTTTGCTTGAAGAAGGGATTTCTCCCTCTAATGTGGGGGAATCTATTTTCCCAAAGCAGTTCTTTCCATTTTTAGAGAGCTCTAGTTGTTGGCTTTCCTTATGTTATGCTGAACTCTCTTTTTATTATTTATTTTATCATAGCATTTAGAACTGATTTAGAACTGAAAGGAACCTTAGGGGTCATGTAGTCCGCCCCTGCATTTTGCTGGTGAGGAAGCTAAGGCCCTGAAAAGGGAATTGAGTTGTCTATTATCACACAGGGCCAAGATTTGAACACAGGCCTTCTGCCTTCATATCTAGTAGTTTCCCCTTTGTTTCAACCATTACTCCATGGACTTTTCTCTTGGGCCAAACAGAACAAATTCAGACCCATTTAAATACTTGGATTTATTATGTCTCATAATTGCTAAATCTAATTACCTCTTTATCCTAATTGCCTTCTTGATCTCTGCAACCTTTGACAATATTAGTCACCCTCTTCTGATCCTCTTTACTCTCTAGGTTTTCATGAAACTATCCTCTCTGGTCCCACTATCTGTCTGACTGATCCTTCTCAGTCTTTTATTGGATGTCTCTAAGAGTCTTTCCTGTACCCTCTTCTCTTTTCTCTCTATACCAGTGATTCTGAACCTTCTAGCGTCAACCCCCTTGGTCTGGTAAACACTATGGATTTCTCAGAATAATGTTTTTAAACAATTGAAAGAAATTTTATATATGTATACATATATATATATACACACACACATATGTATATATATACACACAACATACACATACATATTTTTTATGTGAGGCAATTGGGGTTAAGTGACTTGCCCAAAGTCACACAGCTAGTAAGTGTTATGTGTCTGAGATTGGATTTGAACTCAGATCCTCCTGTCTGTGCTCTATCCACTGCGCCACCTAGCTGCCCCTAGAAATGCTATATTTCAGCTAGATGTCAGCAAAGATAAAGATGGTAATTTTTTTCCTTATCCAAGTTCATGGACCTCTGAGATCTCAGCTAAAAAACTCTGCTCTTTATTTTCTCATTAGATGATCTTATCCTGTGGGATTCAGTTCTGATCAGATGATTTGCAGTTGAATTTATCCAGCTCTCTTCTGATTTTCAAATACCTATTAGACATCTTGAACTGGATGGCCTTTCTTGCAAACTCAACATGATCAAAACAGAAATCATCATTTTTTTCCTCCCAAAGCCGCCTCTCTTCCAAACTTTCCTATTATTACAGTCAAGGATACCACCATGTAGCTGTCTAGGCCCACAACCTCAGTGTCAGCCTTGACTCCTCAGTAATACTCACCTCACACATCCAGTCTTGTCATTTCAGCTTTCATAGAATTTCACCCATGTCTCCTCTCCACCTACAAAGCCATCACCCTGGTGCAGGATTTCATCACCTCACACCTGGACTTTTGCAGTAGGTTCTTTTTTGGCCTCCTGCCTTCTCTCTCACTAATCCAGTACATCTTCCATTCAGCTGTCAAAGTGAGTGGAACTTTCTAAAGTGCAGGCCTGACCATTTCCCCCTCGCCCCCAAATATCAGTAAATTCCAGTGGCTCCCTATTGCCTCAGGGAGCAAATATAAATTACTCTGTTTGGCTTTTAATAATACCCTTACACAACCTGGCTCCTTCCTGCCTTCGCGTTCTACTTATTACATACTCCACAACCACGTAACACTGACCTTCTTACTATACTTGAGCGCAACGTTCCAGCTTCTGTCTGTGTGCCTTTGCACTGGTTGAGTCTCATGCTTGGACTGCTTTCCCTTCTCACCTCTGCCTCTTGGCTTCCCCTTATAGCTTCCTTTGAGCCTCAACTCAAATCCCATCTTCTTCTAGAGGTTGATTCCCTTTCCTGTGAGATATACATTGTATATTTCTACTGTATGTCTCATGTATGTTCAGTTGTTTGCATTTTGTCTCCCCTTTTAGTATGTGAACCCCTAGAGGGCCTAGATTGTGTTTTTAAGCGATTCTTTGTATACTTAGCACTTAGCATAATGCCTGGCACTTAGTAAGCATTTAATTGCTTGTTGACTGAGAAGGTCTTTAGCTTGACCCTTCATGTTGAGACTCTTTACTATCTTGCTCACCTTCTTCTGTAATCTTTCTAACTTTTACTTACTGGATTTCAAACAGCCATCCCCAGGTTGTCTGTGTCATTTAAGCCAACGCACAGTGAATAAAAATAAGGAAGTCCACCGTAGTAGGGTGGGTCTACCTGCAGCTGGTACTTGGCATTCAGCACTTTGAAGCAGCATCTGTATTTGGGCCTTTATCTTCATTTTATACTACTGGTGGCAATATGCCACTTTTTTGCTTTGCTTATAGTCAGTGAATGACTATTTTTAGTATTTAAGCTGAATTTGTACTGAATTTGAGGTTTTTGTTTTATTTTTAATTCTAGATGTTTTAATATCCATCCCATCCCTCCTCATTGATGCCTTTCTTGTAACAAAAACAATTCATGACCCTGCCTCTTAATGGTAGTCCATTTGATTAATTGCCTCTGTATGCTTATTCTCATACTGAATTGCATGTTCTGCATTTCTCTGCATGAAGCATTTCTCTTTGCTGAAGTCACTCTGGATATAGTTTTATGATCTAGTAGATCTCAGGACTGGATCCTAATAAGATTACTCCCACTGTATGTTCATTGCCTTGGTTCACTCAGTTTTCGCACTGAAGTCACTGACCCCTTAATTCACTTTTGCAGTTATCCTTTCTTCTTTAAACATGCTGTTAACTGTATATTTTGCTTCCTAGAGTGTTTGGCTTATGATGTTGAAATGCTCCCTCTGAACTCTTTGGGATCTTATTCACTCCTGATACCTTTACATAGAGAGTTTTCTACTTCTCAGGAGAGGCCCTTAGATCCATGGGGGTGGGAGAGCGAATCCTTCTGAGCATCAGACAAAGTCAGCCCTGGATTCACCCATCATCCTCCTGTCTTGATGTTGGCAGTTTCTGAAACCTGCCACAGGCCTGACTGCTTTGGGGGTTGGGAGGGAGGTAGCAGAAAAGGAGTAATTGTGGCTCCTTGTGGACTTGGGGTGAGAGATGGAAAACTTGGAAATTAATCATTTTGAGAATTTCTTTTTTGTTCCTCCCTCCATGCAAGAAAAGAGCCACACTGATCCTCCTTTCCTATCTGTTTTAAAATAAAATTTTAAAATCAGTTTTAAAATAAATTTCCAGGCCACTATCTCTCTAAAATGCTAAATGTTCATTTTGAGCAGAATAGGTTATTCCATATATATTGTTTTTCTTCTTAAACTACACATTGACTTTAGTTAAATTTCTGGGACTTGTACAATCTCTGCTTGTAAAGGAGTTTGGAATTCCTCTTTCTCAAACCCTGCAGTTTGCTGTTTTTCTTTGTGCCTTGGCCCCTTGTTCACTAAGGGATGAAAGGAGGAAGAGAGAGAGAGAAAGCCCCTGGTAGTTTGAACTGAGACTCCCAGTTGGCTACTAGGGGGTTTTCCTAGAGAGGGGGAAAAGTTCCTTCTATGATAGAGCTGTTTATTGTGTTAAAACATTGAAGTAATCCCCATGGTCTGGAACATTTCTGATGCCTGCAGCTTATTCTGCCAGGTTTTGGAATTGTTCTTTCATCTTTGTGTTGGAGGTGTGGCTTGGAAGGAGCTGCAGGTAAATGTGCTGCAGTTGTCGTGCATTATTAACTGACAGGGTGTGCACCAGGGCCAGTAACTCAGTTATCCAAGTTCTCTTTGTTTATTCTAATCTCCAGTGTCTAGAATAGGATACATAGTCCTTAAGCAAAACAAAATTAGTCCTTTGTGCAGTTAGGGAATCATTGCTAGAGAGGAGAGGCGGGTTTGGGGATGAAAAGGGAATTTCATGTTTGCACAATGATTTTTAAAAGGTGCTATGTCTTTGTTTCTCTCTCTTCTGTCACTTTCCAGGACAGTAAATGGCCTTGACCAAGTTCCTCCAACTGGTCTGGGCTCCTCCAGACCATCATCTGCGCCAGGTATGCTGCCTTTGAGCGTGTGAGCACCCAGTGTCCAGGTGGAGGACTCGGCCCTCCACTGATGAACAAGGATATACCTATGCCTCACCTGTCTGTGCCCACACCTGCAAGGCCCAGCTCATGTCCTTCTATCCACCTGCCTTCCCGTAGCCAGCAGATGGCATGTCACCTGCATGCCATGGCAAACACCGTGCCCACTGCCCTGCAGGACTCTGCTCGATGTTAACCCTGGTTATTTTCTCTTCTCACCATAGTGCCCATTGGTTTCACATGATTGCACTTTCGTGGGTCACAAGCTGATACGTGTATTACTTGGTTTCTCTGGATACAGAAGTTCCCCCTCACCCCACTCAGCCCCTGCAGCCCTTCCTTGCTGTTCCAGTAGGAGTCATTTGAGTGTAGGACCAGTGCAAATCTTGGAGTTCTCTAAAACCTCATCAGTGTGTCCTTCACCACAGCTGTTCCACCCCCACCCCCCACCCCACAGCATCTTTCCTCCTGCCCCCCAAAAGAGTCTTTTATAGCAAAAAGACTTTTGTATTTTGGGGGCCTCATTTCTGTTTCATATTCATGGTAGTCATGGACACAGGGCACGTTTTTCCTGTACCTTCTGAAGTCTTTTGAGCAGTTAGCATTTCTCTAGGCTCCTATCACCAAGAGCAGTATTCAGTCCTGGGTCATGGACAGCAATGAACAGGGTCCCCAGGAAGTCCTAGAGGCCGTGTTTTGGAGGACTTTGCAGCTGTGAGGTGTGTCTTCTTCTCTCTGTGCCTCAGACTTGGTGGGGTTGACCACCTCCTCACCAGCTTTCTGGATCCTTCAGTTAAAAACACTATCTTCAGAGCACTTTTGTTTTACTCTCAGTGGGCCTAACCAGTTGAATTGGGAGGAGTTGAGTGGCCCGTCTCCAAGGGGCAAAGAGAAGACTGCCCCTCAGAAGGGTAGGACTTTACGTGTTTTTCCTGTGCATCCTTTGATTATTCACATGCTGCATTTACTGTTTACATTTTTTTTGTATATAGGTTTGTAAACATACTTGCCTGAGATATTTGTGCATAACTTGGGCTTTGTAGCTTTATTTATTCAGAATCCATTTGGCATGTTTAATGACTTAGGATGGTGTCCTACAGGGCAGCTGTACAAGATCATCATGTGGTTTAAAAAAATAACAAAACACTTCTCATCAAAATAAAGATCTTTTTTTGTGGAAACAGTGAATTTTACAGAAAAAGAAGACTGAAGTTGATTTATTGCCTGTATGGGAGAAAACAAAAATTGGAGAATACTAATGACTCAAGAAGTTCAAATCCATGACCCCATAAATCAGAAAGAGGAATTGATTTTTACTGTGCAGTGGTCTTCCCTAAGGGTGTTACGGGCAGGTATCGCAGAAGGAAGAGGCCCCGATTTTGCTTTGAGGGGCATATTCCTTGTTCCCTTTTTCTCTTTTTGCCACCTATGCCGATGAAATGAGTGATCCTTAACCTCAAGATCAGAAGCAGGTGGAGGATGACCATGAAGCCTAGTGAGCAGATTCCTACCATGTGCTTGTTAGGGTTAGTTTATGGCGTAGATAGAGTGGATGTTACCATCATTTTTCATCAAGTGAGGTGTTACTCACTTTTGTCATTCTTTAATTTGAGGTCATTTCAAACTAGGCTTCTTAATTTTCAACTCAGAATTTTCAGTTCATCTCTCAGGCTTGCTGATTAACACCAGGTGAGAGAAGGTTCCAGGTATTTGATAGCATGACAAGAACAGCTTTAGACACCTGCAGACTGGATGCTCAACAGCTCTCATTGGACAGGCTTTGAATACTACTTTTGTTACAACAGATGAACTCAGCATTAAGAGCAAGCAGAAACTAAAATGCTAAATAAGCAATATCAAGTAATATTTCACATTTGTAAAAAAATAAAATATTATGCAAGTAGTCTCTGCTTTTAGACATACTGCATTCTTTTGGAGTCTGTGTTTTAAACAAGTTCTCCACAAGACTGAATCCTGATGTCTTTTGCATAGGTATCTTCCTCTACAGCAGCAAGGGAAGCTGGTATACTATTAAGGCATCAGTGAAAAATGAGGCCTACCTATTTTCATGGATGAAATCTTACTCATTTAAAGTTGCAACCTAGCTAGTGAAGGAATATTATCTTCCAACTTACAATTTTTAGGGGTTGGATCCTATTTTAGATACCTACTAGGTGCTACCATGAGCAAATTTTGTGAAGAGTTTTGTGAAGAAAGTACTTTGTAAACATCAGTATATACATGTGAATTATTATTAGGCTTGGTGATCATGGGATAGTGGAAACAACTATTTGGAATCGGAAGACCCGGGTTCTAAATTAATTGTATGACTTTGGTCAAATCAGGTTCTTCGTCTATAAAATGGAGAGGTCAGACTAGTCAATTTCTAAGGGTCCTTCCAGTTCTAAAATTTATTGTGAGGTTACTTCCACCTTTGATCTTCTGTGATTCCCAGTAGCCTTTTATAGTTTTAGCTGTATTCATTAACTTTTTTTTATAGCTAAGGCCCCTTCATTTTCCTAGAGCAGAAATGATAAACATCAACCTGTTCCACACACAGATATGTCCTCTCTGCCCATGATGGTCATTTCTTCTTTCCCTCCTGCTTCACACTTCTGTTTCTCTCCATATCATTAGATTCTGCCTTTCTGTTCATGTCAGCCTTTTAAAGTACCTGCATAGTTCTCTTTGCTTTCTAAGGAGTCAATTTGGTAACTTCAGTCAATAAAAAGTAAATGTTTATTAAACACCTAAAAACTCAGTTGGTTTCATTCCCTCTCATCCTGCCACCAAGACATCATTAGCTGTCACAGCCATGAGTTCCTGTTCATTTCTCTGCTACGTGTACTCTTTTGTAAAGTGCAGCGTTCAATTCCATCACCAGGTAGTTCTACTTGCTGATGTAATGCAAGAGCAAACTGATGTTATGAGCACTGGGTTGGGAGTCAGAGGTTTTGAGTTTAAATCCCAGCTCAGCCGCTTACTACCTTTACAACCACGGGCAGATCATTAAGGAGGGCTATTTTCCTCATCTCTATAGTGAGGGGGATGGGCTAGGTGACTTTTAAGGTCCAGAAGTTTTAAATCTATGTGTGAATCTGGTATTTGTGGCCCCAAAACACAGCCTTGCAAGGGGGTAAACTAAAAGAAGTCATTCTTAGCTTAAGTTACTTATTCAGTAATGAGCGTAAGTTTACCATATTTTGCCTTGGCAGCCTGTAATTTTATCGCAACATCTCCCTAGCATTTTCCTCGATATAAACACCTGCCTATTGACACTGTTAGGGATGCTTTCCAGGAACTTGACCCTGTCAGTTGCCATTTTTACAAATCTTCCTTGTAGAAGGAGAAGGTACTGGTGACCAATTGATGAGATTCATATTTATAAGGGCAGAGATCTGGTGCTCAGCTGAGGTTTCAGTGAACAATCTCTTCTAGATGATGCAACACGTAAGCTGGAAGTAAAGATAAGAAACAAGGATGAGCAGAGGGACCGGGATGTTTGCATTTTTTAAAAAAATACTGTTAAAAGAATGGCATTTTGTTGGTCTTTATTAATGTAAGACCTGTGCTGCTGGAAGGCAAAGGTAAATAAAGATAGCCCTCGCTTTCATCTAGTGATAGATACAGACTTGTACACAGTTAAATGTAGTACAGATGAGAGTGTGATGAGTGCCTATGAAATCAGTGCTATGAGAGCGATCACTTCTGTGGGGGGAAGGGAGGATTGTAGAAAACGGCAGGCATCTGAGTTAGATCTTGAAAGATGAGCCTCTAGAGATGAGTATTTGTGCAAGGTATTTCAGAGAAGGCAGTTGTAAAACACTGGAAAGAATGGAATTCATTCAGGGGTGGGGAATATTCAGGGTTTGGCTCTAATGAACCGTCTAGAAAGATGAGGTTGGAGCCACATTATTAGGTGCCGTGAATTCTAGACTGAGAAGATTATACTTCATTTAAGGGGCAATTTGGGATACATTAAGGTTTTTTGACATGACCAACTTAGAAAGTTACTCTGGGCAGTGTTATGAAGGATAGATGGGAAGGGCAGGCATGGACATTGAGAGACAGGTTAGGCTCATATAATAATACATATGAGAAGTAGTGAGGTCGTGAGCTGGAGTGGCTGCTATGGAAAGAGTAAGGAGGGATATGTTTGTAAAGTTGTATCATTGACAGGATTTGGAAAAATGACTTTAGAGGTTATGGAGTGGAGTGATTGGGGAGGTGCAGTGTAAGTCAGGAGGAAAGGGTTTAGCGGGGTAAGTTCAGTCAAGTGGGCAAGCATTTATTAACACCTAAAGAGTACTGGAGATACATGACAAAAACAGAACAGTCCCTATCCACAATTAGCTTAATTTTTATCAAGCATAACAATATGTACACCTGTAAGTTTGACATAAAGTAAATATAAGTAATTTTCTGGAGGAAGCACTAGGAACTGAGGAGACCAGGAAGGCCCTAGTAAGAGATAGCACTACACAGCTAATGTTTTGCATGACTTCATGTGTATAATGGGCATTATATTTCTGGTCTGCTCAGTGGATTGGGGAGGGGTGGAGAAAGGGAGAGGATTTGTATAATAACTTTTTAAAAAAAGAGATGGCAGTTGGGCTGAACTTTGAAGGAAATTAGGAATTCTACAGAGTGGAAGAGAGAAGGGAATGCCTTCCAAACACAAGGGATGGCTTGTGTAAGGCATATAGGTGGTAGAATGTTGTGTATGAAGAATGACAAGCCAGTATGGCTGGACCATTTAAGTGTCCAGAGGGGAATATAGGGTATTTATTGAATCTGGAAAAACAGACAAACCAGATTAAATGTCCAAGGAATTTGTATTTTATCCTAGAGGCTGTAGAGAGCCACTGGAATTTTCTGAGCAGGGGAGTGACCTGGTCAGACTTGGCAACTGATTGGCTGTGGGTGGGTGGGTGGGATGAGGTAGAGTTGAAGAAGACTCCAGGGCTGTGGACCAGGGTGACTTGAAGTTTAATGATGCCTTTATCAGAGGAGTTAGGAAGAGGGATAGGGTGACCATTGTGAGAAATGAGTTCTGTTTCAGATTTATTAATTTGAAATGTCTCCTGGACATCTGCTTGGAAATGTTCAGTAGTTAAATATGCCTTTGGGTATAACAGTTTTTCCTTCTTTTCATTTATATTGCTATAGCCACTATATCTGTTGCTTTCTTAATTCCACTTATTTCACTCTGAATAAGTTCATGTGTCTTCCCATGATTCTCTAAATTCTTTATGTTCATTATATCTTACAGTAGAGTAATATTCCATCATATGCATGTGCCACCTTTTGTTTAGTCATTCTCCATTGATAGGTATCTACTTTCCAGTTCTTTGCTACCATAAGGCTTTTGCCTTACCTATTTATTCACAATTCCTGGCAGGAATTATTTGCTCTGCTTTATAGAAAATAATAACAATAGCTGACATTGATTAGTGCTTTCATTTCACCAGCAGCTTGTTTCTCAACAATTTGTCTCAGTTTAATTTTTTTTGCTAATTTGTTGGGTAATATCAGAGGCAATACGCACTGGGTCATCATGCAAGGAGGCTACCCCCAGGATTTGGTTGGTGAAGATCAGGGTTTAAACACACTGCTTCTTTGTTGCCTGAGGCATAAAAGGCCTATAAGGAACTGATGTGCCAAAGATTTTAGCAGAATTCCCACTTATCTTTCTAAATGTCCTTCTAACTCAGCTCTGCTGCCATGGTGAATGCTGAGGTGTGTGTGTGTTTGGGGGGGATCAGTGTTTTCATTATTAATTATGTCTTTAAAAAACTCTTATAAGTAAATTTGTTATTTCATTTTATGGTTCATGAGTGTTTCAGTGCTTTCCAATTCTAAGCCTGAACCAAAACATTTGATGTTAGGATTGAATAAGATGACCTTGTGGTTGAAATAAAGGGGTAATGCAGAAGACCTTTAGGTAATTGAATGACCAGTTAGAGGAATTTGGTACCTTTGGTACTTTGAGGCTGCCAATGGGGAACTCTTTCAAAGGAAGAAATGGGACCCCCACTGACACTGTAGGATTTGCCCGATGGATGGGTGCTTAAGGGTGGACAAGAGTAAGAGTATTGAAAGTAGTTCTTGCTGAGGCTTTTACAAAGGCTAGATTGCCAGGATAAAGAAAATGAAAATATTTGAAATGAAAATCTTTGCACATTCAGTAATTGGAGACAGATATGGATCTGTTTTTGTTTTTTAAGAATGGTGCTTTGAAGGCAGAGGGGCAGTTTATGGACTTGGTAACAGTACAGGGCAGGGCTGATGAAGGCAGGGACTATTTACAGGCTCTGGCCCACAGGTGGTTTTGCTTAAGAATGTGTTGAATCCCACTGAGCTTGGGGCTCTAAGGAAAGAGAATAGGAAGAAGAGTGAGGATGAGAATTGGGAATAGGCTTCTTTGGGAAGAGATCTTTAAGCTTAAGAAGGGGTGGGGAGTACCCTGTTAAAGCCCTTTAGGGTAACTTCTCTAAAGTCAGAAGGTGGGTAGGCTTTCACCACCAAGGAACTTGGGTGGCTATATTAGAGATTTAAACGGCAAGCTGTCAGAACAATATATGACACACTAGTGGGAATTCCAACAAAACTCCAGCTAATGAGCTCCCTGTTGGTTGAGCCCTTAATGCTTCAGGTGACAAGAAGGCAATGCCAGTGATTCAGACCCTAATCTTTGAGACCAGAGGTGTCGAACTCAGGGCCTTTGGGCTGCATCTAGCAGGCAAAACTCTCTAGAATAGCCTGAATGAGTTTAAAATATAATTAGGAAATGATTAACAAAATAAATAAAAATGCAATAAAATGTCATGTTAATTTAGAGTTTTCTAAGTCAATCTGCAGCCTGTAGGAATCCATTTCTATTTGGAGTTTGACATCACAGTCCCAGGCTGACCTGAGGATGGCCTCTTCCCCTCCATGAAGGGAAACCATTCCAAACTCTATGAAACCTATGACTCCTACCCAAACAGTGTATTATAAATTTAATATTAAAATTAATACAGCCAGTTTAGCTTGTTTTGCAACTACTTGTGTTTAATGAATTTCAGCATAAAATATAACTTTTAAGTCATTCCTTATTATTCTTACTTTATCAATTCCTATTCACTTTTCTCCTGTGGTCATGGTAGATATGGTTTTATTTTTTTTCTCCCACTTTGCATTATTTGAGATCCTAGCAGTCTAGGATCATAGATGTAGAGTTAGAAAAGCTTTTACACATCCATGGTGCAATGGGAAAAGCATGATGGATCTGGAGTCAGTGGACATGGTACCTGTGTGGCTCACCTTGAGCATTTAACTTCCCTGGGTCTGTTTTCTCATTTGTAAAGTGAGGGAGTCATACTAGATGACTAGGATCTCTCTGATCCTATATTCTTATCAAACCTCAATTTACAGATGAAAAAAGTTAGAAATAAAGAATTTTGACTTGCTCAAGGTCACAGCAAAACAAAAATCTAGGTCCTTTGACTCCAAAGCCCCCATTACCTTTCCCTTTATATTTCCAGGATCCCTCATTCTTGTTGATTTCAGTTGCATTGCATTATTTGGTCATTATGCTATGTTTTCTTATTGCTAGATGTTTAAGTACTTCCAGCTTTCTAAAAAATTACAGATTATGCGACTCTAAAAATCTTTGAACAGTTATTAAAATGAAAAAAGTGAATTTTCTTGGTATGTTGTCAACAATGGCATTATTAGGTCAAAAGTAATGATTATTTTTGTCATGTTTACTGCTAGATTGCTGTCCAAAAATTTCTTAGTAATCTAGTTTGTTTCAATACATTTTTACCAGTTTAATGGATGAGTAGTTTTAATCTCTTTGATCAATGAGGTTGAACATTTTTCCAAGTGATTATTAACATTTCATTTCTTCTTCTGAAAATTCACATATTTTGACCCTTTATTGTGGACTGGGTATTCTGACCCCTTAATTCTACATAAAGCCTATAGAGAGGAAATAACTTGCACACTGTCAATACAAACTGCTATTAAGTGGGGAAGTCACCCTAACCAGTCTCCTGACTCTTCCATATAGTACCACAAGTGATGGATGAGCTGTGCTGACTTCTTCCTCACATAGCCCTGTTTGGGTGGGCTGGCTTCAAGCCTTTATGAAGGCATCAGGCATGTTCTCACAGCACCACTGTGGCATTGCTTCCCTAACCTTCAATTGCACTTAAAGGGTGGGGTCCCCAGAGGGTTGGCTGATAGTACTTTGAAGATTCATGGGGTAACTGAGCTACTGGGGTTTCTAGTATTGGTGCTTATGAGCTAGTACTGGTGTGTTCCCAAACAACAATGAGGAAACAAGATTTACTGAAGATTCACGAAGAACAGTTAGTATAAAACATTCACCTCTTTCCTAGCATCCATATCCTTGGAAGAATGGGCTCAAATGTAAGGCACAATAGGTAGTAAGGCACATATGTCAAGAGTTCTGTGTGGCTAAGAGGCACCTCCTTACTCCTAGTCCTGGAAATCCTTCATAGAGTCCTCATGAAATTCCTAGCTTTGTCTGGCAGGTGACCCGATAAAACTAAGGCTGCTGTTGGGTTGGCTTGGGCTACTCTATTGCAGCTAACACTTTTTCCCCAACTTCTGCCCAGATGCCAGAGGGACACCACCAGCTGTGACCCAGCTGCTGCGCTGGCTTCTCACTGGGCTCAGTTGCTCCTGGGCCAGGCTGCTCAGCTGCTACCCTATAATTTCTAAAGACATTTTAATGCCCAGTGTTGCTTCATGGACTCATCCTTCTGAAACTTGCTACTCTGTCACTTCCTGACTCCTATCGCTACCGTTTCTGGCTCCAAAAACTCTGTTCCTATTTGCTTGTGGAACCTCTGATGGACCTTTGTGTATCTCAGATTCA